TTCTGATAGTGATATTTCCTATGTGGTAGCACCATCTAATGAGAGAAACTGTAGTCAACTGATTTTAGAGGGAAAGGGGTTGGAACTTTCGTTATCATGTGATACGTCCTCTGATTTAGTTCCCCTATCCTTGTCATTTGATGGGCTGAAGAGCAACAGTGTAGATGAAGCAATGAATGAGTCCAGCAGTTTTGATGGTGCTAGAACCTCTTCGAGCCTCAGCAAGTTCCATTCTGGGGGCAAAATATCTGAAAGTGAGTCCAGAATGGGTCTTCATCTTGGTTTGTCAGTGGGCTCCTTTTTGTCGGGTATGTGGATTTATTTACTTGTGCCTGCTTATTTGTGGGGCATAACTCTTGTTCTTGGAACATTACGGAGCGGAGAACTTGTGTTAGCTTTAAATATTTGATAATGGATTTTAAACCATTTTTTAATGTAATTCTAGTTACTGGAGATGTGAAGCAGCAGAATCCTGCAGAAGGGTCTTCATCAAAAGGTATGGAGGATATTTTCTTTTGCTCTTTTTATGGTTCTCTTTGCTTTCTGTATAACATTCCTTGCCTGTTGAAAGCAAGTGCACACTTCTAAAGACATTTGTTCCTATTTCCTTATTGTTAATGAGATTTCAGCTTCAGCTGATAGAACTGCACCTGATATGAATGCCGATGCTGTCAGAAATATTTCCATAAAGAGAAAGCACACTGATTGCAGGTCATTTTCCTTCAACTGTTTCCTCATCTCAAATCTTCAGCAGTTAATATTTGTAAAGCATGTGTTCTACATGTTTCTGGCAATCCAGTCTCAGTTTCAGACTGCTACTTGATTGTGACTACAATTTTTCTGAATTTTCCCTATGTGTCCTTGTGATGATTTTGCTTGCACTTAGATAGTGATCCATGATATAAGAAAATAAATTTGGTCACTTGCTTCTCTGTTAGGAATTTGCCACTTCTGTGATTTCTTCTGGATGTTGTGTTGTCTATAAGTTCTCTTAAAGTTCATTTGCAAATCTTCCAAATCCAAGCTTCTGGTTCGAGACTCTGTTAATCTAGTCTGTAACCATGTGACTTCTTACGGCAAATAAGATTTTGTGGTAATTAATTGCAATGGTTATCACTGTACATAGGTCAAAGTTAGTTAGGACTTAGAGAACTCAAATTTTAGGGTTGAGAAGAGTTGATAGCCTTTTATTAGAAGACTATCTATCCAGTTGGGCAAAACAACAACTGAAATTACTGGTGTACATTACCAGCAGCAACCCAAATGACTGTTTTGGCTATTAGCTCCTAATGTTTTTGCATTCACCAAAAAGTTCAATGTAGGTCATGGAATTTTAGCAATATGGAAGTTATGGTGCCGCATAAACTTTGCAGGACTTGTAGGATATAGTTCACATTTGAAAGATTGCCTTCCCTCCATCTTTTCTGTCCACCATGAAGTCTCTCTCTTCTTTTAGCCCTGCTACTGCTGCATCTACTCTAAGGTTCAGAAGAGGACTGAATCAGATATGTTATGTTGGAGTTTGACAAGTTGTAGAAATTTTTTCTTTTTCTCAGTCCTCAAGCAAAATGGAAAGTAAAATTGCCAGCATTTTTTGCATGTTGATTGTCATGTTCGCTTTAAGATTCATACACATTTGAAATTAGTTTTTTGTAACATTTTCTGCATGTAGGTCTTAGATCTTTCGATCTCTGCTCTCCCTGATTTCTTTCATATTTATTAGTGATGTTTATATTGCTGCTGATGCTGATGATACCAAAGCAAATAATGAGAATGAAGCTTTGCCTAAGAAACCTAGAGCAGAGAGAAAGATTGAAATGAAATCCAAGGACCAGGAGAATACATCTGTTCCAACTGATTCACCAAACTGCCATGCCTTAAAATGTTATCCTAAAAAGGAAGATGTCGCTTGTGATATAATGAGTATAGTGAAAGGGACAGCTCGTAAACCTTCTAAAAGATTTGTAAACAAACAACCCGCTGATAAATCTTCAAAAGAAGAAGAAAATACTGCTGGCTTGAGAGTTAAAAAAATCATGAGGAGAGCTGCTGAGGATAAGGAGTCATCCATTGTTGTTCAAGAATTAAGAAAAGAGATAAGAGAAGCTGTTCGTAACAAATCTACAAAAGACCTGGGGCAAAACCTTTTTGACCCAAAACTTCTGGCCGCATTTAGAGCTGCTGTTGCCAGACCAAAAACTGAGACTCCTAAAAGATTATCATCAACAGCTGTAAAGACAAAAAAGGCCATACTGCAGAAAGGTAAAGTACGTGACAATTTAACTAAGAAAATTTATGGGGATTCAAATGGAAGACGAAGACGTGCATGGGACAGAGACTGTGAAGTTGAATTTTGGAAGTACCGCTGCATGAGAGCTACAAAACCTGAAAAGATTGAAACTTTGAAGTCAGTTCTTAACCTCCTAAGAAAGAACTCAGAGGGCCCAGAGATGAAGACAGCAGTTGATTGTGAGGCTTCAAATCCTATTCTTTCAAGATTATATTTGGCAGATACTTCTGTTTTCCCAAGAAAGCATGATATAAAGCCTCTTGCTGTTCTTCAAGTGACTGATAACTCAAAAGAGGACACAGAACAAATTATTTCAGCGGAAGTGACTTTGAATTCATCTCATGACAACAATATGAAAGTTACTGAAATTAGTTCATCAAAGGTTGGTGATGTTAATGGGAGAAGTCCTAATGTTACCTGTTCCAAAGGTGTTACTGCTTCTGGTAAAGTAGATTCAAACAAACTACGAGAAGGACATTCAGTTTCATCATCCAGTGATGCTAAGGTTAGCTCCCAGAAGGAAAAGATTCTGAAGTCTGATGATGCAAATAAAGATAAAAGGAAATGGGCCTTGGAGGTGCTTGCCAGAAAAAAAGCTTTAGCAGGCAATAATATAACCCATGAAAAGCCAGAAGACAATGCTGTACTGAAAGGAAACTATCCCTTATTGGTACGTAAAGACAAGACATGACCCCTAGCTTCTAAGTTACTTTTTTGAAAATACCTGATGCTTATGAACTGATATTGTGATCTGTTTTGTGGTTGGAAACAGGCTCAACTACCAGTAGACATGAGACCAGTATTGGCACCTAGTCACCATAAGAAAATCCCCGTGTCTGTTAGACAGGTATGAAATTTCTTGTCTCTGCTTTGACTTAACTGCACTCGATGTTTTTTGTGAGTGGGCTGGTATGAATCCTATTGTTTCCAGCTCTTCACTAATGAATTTTGATTTCTTGCACTTTTTCATGTCCAGATGGAGCCAAATGCACTGTGATTTGTCAAACAATTCCTTTATCCATTAGCCTCCTAGATTCTAAATTTTTTGGCTAATTTATTTGTAGGTTATGATTCCCAATATATTTTTCTCTTTAGTATGTACTATTACATTGCTTGAATCATCTTTAAAAAATGGCAGACTCTGCTATGTTCTCATTTTGATTACTGTTTGTGTGTCTCCTTTTAACTATTTGGTGCAGACACAGCTCTACAGACTGACAGAGCACTTCTTAAGAAAAGCAAACTTGCCAGTTATTTGCAGAACTGCTGTTACCGAGTTGGCTGTTGCAGATGCTGTAAATATTGAAAAGCAGGTAGCGGATAGGTCAAACAGCAAACTAGTATATTTAAATTTATGTTCACAGGAGATATCACATCATTCAGATAATGGACGTACTAGTGCCACAGAGTTGGACTCTTCACCCCCTTCAGAGGTTTCTTCTGATAGGTTAGAACAAACTGCTGATGAATCTTCAACTGATCCTACAGTAGTTGAAGCATTGAGGACTGCAGGCCTTTTGTCTGATTCACCTCCAAATAGTCCATGTCAGAAGGTTGAGGTATCAGATGTTGATGATTCCTTCTGTTCCGCCAGAGTGGAAGGGCCTGATAACATATTTGAGATGGATTCACATCCAGATGTCGATATTTATGGTGATTTTGAATATGATTTGGAAGATGAAGACTACATTGGTTCCACTGCAAAATTGAATAAGCTGCCAGAAGAAAGTGGCTCAAAAATGAAAGTAGTTTTCTCCACTCTTAACTCTGAAAGATCCTCAGAAATTATCGGGACATTGGGAAGTGTTGAGGTACCTAGTGATTCTCCTTGCTTGCAGCCGGGTCATGCTGATACTGAGATCAGAAGCTCAACTGTCGATGGTGGGACAGATAAGTCCTGTGTGTCTTTCCAATCTAAAGCTGTTGAAGAAGGTGAGGAGCTTTCTCTGGCAGAATGTGAAGAACTATATGGCCCTGATAAGGAACCACTTGTAAATAAATTTCCAGAAGGAGAATCTTCACAGCTATATTGTTTGGTCAATGCAGCAGTACATGCTGGGAAACGAGTTCCTGAAAACAATGACAATGATATACCAAACCAACTAGTAAAGGTATCGAAACTTGGAAGTGAGAGTGCTGCGGCCAATGTAACTGTTGCCACCAATTGTCATAACACTGTAGGTGAGGAAAATTTGTCAGATGAGATTCAAACCAGTGAAAATACCCGCAGGAAGGAAAAGAAGCTAAGTGTTGATACTAACAAGCAATCTGTTGTAATTAACTCTATATCCAAAAAGGTACTAGCAGACACATCTGCTGTTAGTTCTTTTTTTCTTATCGTTCTTTACCTCTACATTTGTTCTATGACTTATCAATATAATAACAATTCTGGAAATTTCATTTGTGAGAAGCAGTCCTGTCATTTTTCTGAGTAATGTTCTGTCCACCAGGTCTTTCTTTTTAGTTAGTTAATTTGTTTGTCTTTTTTATTTTTGCTGAATATCCACCAGTTAATTTCTACTAATCTAGCTTTTGGACCCTACAGGTGGAAGCTTACATCAAAGAACATCTCAGGCCACTGTGCAAAAGTGGTGTGATTACAGCAGAACAGTACAGGTGGGCTGTGGCAAAAACTACTGACAAGGTTATGAAATATCATTCAAATGCCAAGAATGCAAATTTCCTGATTAAAGAGGGTGAGAAGGTGAAGAAACTTGCAGAACAATATGTGGAAACTGCACAGCAGAAGAGCGATCTTGTATGATCAGTCATTTGAAGAAAAAAAAATGATGTTTGAACCTACCTTCATGTTAAGAGGAGCGATGGTATATCATAAGGTAAAGTAGTTTTCCTGTCAGGAATCCAACAAATCTAATGCTCAGCTTGTTCTTCCTTCCCCTATTTATTGCTGGTTAGGGGATTTATACCGAATGCATCCTTAAAGCTTACATTGTAAAAGGTGGCACTTCAAACTCGCACCAGGAATAATTATATGGTTTAAGTCCTTACAAAGCAAGATATGTATTAAGCGGCATGAATTTTGCCAACAGAAACTAAAGAGAGTGTAAATTTGTCACAGAAACTTCAAAGAGAATACAATATGATTAAACTTTTTTGTAGATTTTTTTGGCTGTCATTTCATTACCTAAGGAGATGTTTCTTATACTCTGTTGTGGATTGTACATAATAACATATAAAAAGATGACCAAAAATATCTTACTTCGATTTTTCTTCTAAGGAAAAAATTTGACTATAACCCAGTTAATTGAAATTGTAATTTTATAGGATAGAAATCTGAATAAAAATAGCATCTTATTATATTTATTTTAAATATGTTATTTTTTTAATTTGCTCTTTAATATTTCAGATAATAAATTTGTAGTTATGAAATTGAAGATGCTTATAATAAAATTGTTTTAATTATGTAATAAATTATGAATAATTTTTACAAATATTAAATATCTAAAAATTATGGGCGGATAAAATTTATTTTAACCAATTTAAGTAAGGGTTCTTTTGTAAAGTGAATTGCATTTTGTTTTTTTTGTTTTTGAATTTTTTCTACTGTATATAAATTTTATCACTGTAATATAAATTACTCTATATTTTTCATTATCATTTTCTCTATTGAAAAAAAAAACAGTAGAAAATTTTGCTCAAATATAGGATTTAAGTCACTGAAGATTATGAGTAAGTGTTTTTCTTTTTTCATTTTCTTTTTTCAGATTTTTTAAACTGTATATAGGAATATTTGGATAATAACATACATTGTGCAGTTGTAGATTTTAACAGAAATTTCAATAAAATTAATAATTATACCTTGAGATTAAAAATGGAGTTGAGTGTGGTTCATTTAACAGAAAAATTAAATTATATTTTTTTGAGAAAAAAAGATATAAATTCAACTGATTAAAAGGTTAGAGTTCTGAAAATTAGAGTAAAAGTGAGGGACAAACTGTGGAATTGAGCATTTCTTTTAAAACCTTCGATTTGGATAAACCAAAATGGCGAAGCAGCGTTAAAGCTTTCTTTCGCTTTTTTTTTTTTTTTTTTTGTTTTCAGTTCACCAAAAACCTTCCTTGGTTATGGTAATCAATTGGAAGACTAAGACCGCATTGCCAAATTCTCAATGCAGTCCATCCGAAACCATAATTTGATCAAGTTTACTTCTCGATTCTGCTGAAGACGATGACCTCCATTGACACTTTGTTTTCAGCTGGGGTTTATCTCCCTAAGCCGCAGACCACACTCGCCAAAACAATTCCTAAACGCTCAAATTCTCTTAATTTCACTCGAAAATTTCGATCAAGAGCTCCAGTTCTTCGTCGATCATTTACGGTTTTATATGAATTGCAGTCTGGCTCTATATCACAGCCCGGTGACGCTGGTAAACCCACTGGGGATGATTTTGTCACTACAGTTCTGAAGGAAAACCCTAGCCAAGTAGAACCCAGGTACAGAATTGGGGATAAGTTTTATACTTTGAAAGAGAAACAGAACTTGAGTAAGGACCGCAATGCGGGTATCCTCGAAATTTTAAAGAGAAAGCTGAACTCGAAAGTGACATCCGAGAACTTCAGTGAAGACCATGAAATTGAGAGTGGAAAGAGAAGCGAAACCGTCTACTTGAAAGATATTTTGAGGGAATATAAAGGGAAACTTTTTGTGCCTGAACAGATTTTTGGGGCGGAGTTATCGGAGGAGGAGGAATTTGATAGGAACTTGGAGGAATTGCCTAAGATGAGCTTTGATGATTTTAGGAAAGCTATGAAGAGTGACAAGGTTAAGTTATTGACTTCCAAGGAAGCTTTGGGCGTTTCCTATGGAAATGGATACAAGGATTTCATTGTGGATTTAAAGGAGATTCCAGGGGACAAAGGCTTGCATAGAACTAAATGGTAAACAGAACTAGGTGATAAGTGTCTCTGAGAGTTCTCTTTTCATGGATGCTTTTCAATGTCGTTTTTTCTTATTTCTTATGGATTTTGCATTTCTACAGGGCAATGAGGCTTGACGAAAGTGAAGCTCAAGCTCTTTTGGAGGAATATACAGGTCCACAATATGAAATAGAACAACATATGACGGTGATCCTTCTTTAACTTGTTTGGGTTTCATGGGTTACACATTAGTCAATGTTCTTGGATATTGAGTTTTGAGTAATATGTGAATTTTCTAGGAAGTGGTAGGTAATTAATCAATGATTATGTGTTAGCCTTGTATCATATATGCTTTGTGTGTGTGTGTCTCCAAGAGGAGATGAGTCACCAATCATGTAAACTGGAAACAGAAGCTATGGCTAGATAGAAGTATAGCTCATGCATGGAAAAGAAGCTTCATTGGAACTTCTGGTCCATCAATTTAATCATTAACAAATTATCTAGATTGATTCAATGTATTGTTACGCGAGGAGTACGAAAGTTTTATGTTTTCGGTTTTTTCATTTGAGGATCAGAAGAACTTTATATTCTTCACATCTAATTCACCTTTTTATTTCAATATATATATATATATATATATTTCACATCTAATTCACCTTTTTATTTCAATATATATATATATATTTCGCATCTAATTTAGTATTGAGTCCATTTTCTATCTCTGATAATGCACAAGCACAAACATAAAAAATGTACGTTTGCATAGAAACTGAGGCATACTTTTCTGGGCCCTTAGATTATTATATCAATTATTTATATATCTTCTGTACTGTTTGGATTTTTTTTTTTTTTTTCAGTCCTGGGTAGGAAAAGTGCCAGAGTATCCTCATCCAGTGGCATCTTCCATATCTAGCAGAATGATGGTGGAGCTTGGGATGGTGACTGCTGTAATGGTTGCAGCAGCAGTTGTTGTTGGGGGTCTTTTAGCTTCGGCTTTATTTGCTATTACCAGTTTTGTGTTTGTAACAACTTCATATGTTGTATGGCCAATAGCCAAGCCATTTATTAAACTTTTCCTAGGTCTCATCTCTGGTATTCTGGAGAGGTTTTGGGATAATATTGTTGATTTTTTTGGTGATGGTGGAATATTCTCTAAGTTATACGAATTTTACACTTTTGGTGGTGTTTTCTGCAAGCCTTGAGATGCTCAAACCAATTATGCTTGTTGTTTTAACCATGGTTCTTCTTGTTCGATTCACACTTTCTCGAAGGCCTAAGAACTTCAGGAAATGGGTAAATATTTATCATACTGAGATTTTAGGCTCTTATGTGCGGCACTTTGATGGTTTGACTTTTTTTTTCTCCTTACATATTTGGTAACCCAATTTCTTTGTTTTTGTTTCAACATTTTTCAGGATTTATGGCAAGGGATTGATTTTTCTCGATCTAAAGCAGAAGCTCGTGTTGATGTTAGTTTCCTATGCTATATGTAGTTTCATATGTTGTAGTTACAGATATACTAGTATCATTCTTTATGGACTTCTTTTTTATTTGATTGTTTCAGGGATCGACTGGGGTTAAGTTTAGTGATGTGGCAGGGATTGATGAAGCAGTTGAGGAGCTTCAAGAGGTAGCCTTACACATTTGCTTCACTTGAATCGTTCATGTGAAAACTTTAGGTTTTGGTATCTCAATTTTTCTTATTTGGTTATTTTGTTTCTCTTTTCCTGCACTACATTTTCATGGTTACAGTATTATGCTGAAGATGAAAATCTTATGCGCATTCTCATAATTGATTTTTCAATCATGTTGGAGGTTTTTCGTCTAGGTCGGGTGAGTTCTTGAAGGTTGTAAGATTTTGGTAGACCTGGAGTTTCTAGTTACATGTTAGTCCTATTTGCGCAAATTACTTTAAGTAGGTTGAAGAGTTATTCAAGTGCAATGAACAGCTATGTGCTTGTTATTACATACTCCAACCCTCATGGCTCTAGGCCAGTGTGGTTATTCTCTTTCCATCAGTTCGAATATGATAGAGCATATTGTCGATTTCTATTTGGCAAGTTTGATCTTTTGGTTTTAAGTATCTGTATAAATAATGTGTTATTTCTTCAACATATAACAAGAGCAATACCATAGTGGTTATTTCAGTCTGTTCTTCTTGTTGTTTGTCCAAGTCTTGTCGTAGAAAATTGTCTCACCTGCCGTTGGTTGCTGGCACATGAAGAAGTTGTTTCACCTGATGTTGGTTGTTGATGCATCAATGGCATGCGCGATCAAGTTGTTTCTAACAATTGTTTTCTACTTCTCTTGTGTTGCATTGATGTTCTTTCCTTTTTCTCTGTAGTGTTCAAGGTTCCAACTATCCCTTTGAGGAGATTTCAAGATGTTTGCTTGATACTATGGCGGTCTCTATGTTTTGGCTCATATAACCCGTAGTTACTTTGATGCTTGTCGATTTGATGCTTGTCTATTTCACTCGGAAGGCTGAATGTTGTTTGTTTTATGTTTCATTTTTTGGAGCACTCCCCCCAGTGGGTCATCTTGGCTGTCATTAATTTCATATAAATTTTGCCGTCAAGCCTTTTCCCAAAATTTATTGTCTGGATTTTTGGTAGGAAGTTTGTGTTGTTTGATTTAGCTGTTTGGTAGTTATTCAACTAAATATTGATTTTCATGTTCGATGTAGCTCCTTTAAAGTGGTGGTTCATGGAACTCATCAGGTTACAAGGGGTGCGAGAGCATAATAATGTATTCTCGTCATGGTACCATGTACCATATCGTTACCATTGTAAAAGGAGCCAATATTTGATGCAGAACCAATCAAAGGAAATAAATGTTTTAGAAAGTTTTATGCTAAAATCAATAGGATGATTTACTTTCCTTTTCTAGTAAAATAAAACTTTCAGAAAGTTTTACAATAAAAGGAAATAGAACGATTAATTTTCTTTTTAAACTAACCTCCTGATTTTCTTATTTACCTTATTTTCCTATTTACTAGATTTCTAGATTTATTATTTTATTACATATGAGTAAGACATCTTATCTATTAAGTAGACTTCTCATAATTATTGTTCGAATATTAAGATATTGTTTTAATTATTGAGATCTGAAATATATAAGTTTTGTTCTTCATAGATTTTTCCTAATTTTTTGTTTTCAAACTCTCTTTGTTCTACATCAATACTTAAGTATGGTAGCACCTTATTATGTATCATAATAAGATGAATGGTGTTTAATTGAAGGGTGTGTCAAAAAATTGAATTTGAATCCGCAATGGTTGTTCTAGCTTTGGTTAATCATTTTTTTCTCTTGCTTTGTTTCAATTAGTCGTTTTTTCTCTTGTTTTCATGAGTTCTTATTTCGTAATCATGGGAGGTGTTAGTTAAAATTTAAATTTAAGGTCCTCTATTTCACTCTTGAGGAGGAAGCAGTTTTTTCGATGTTAATATTCTGGATTGCTATAAGATTTATATCTTAGATTTTGATGAGTGTAGAAGGGCCAGATGGCTGAAAAGGTTTCTCATCCAAATTAGTAAGACAATATATATTTAGTCAGATAAAAATGTTCTAAGAAGCCAATAGAACACTTTTTGGTTGAGGTGCACGAGGAACTTAAAGAATAGGTTTCTGATAGTGTCTGAATACTATCATGGAGGCAGGAAGCCAATGATTGTAATCCTAGTAGTCAAGGGTAGACCAGGTTGGCAGAAGCCATGCATTCTGTGGTTGAAGCAGTCATAATTCTGAGAAGGCATGGTGCATCTCTTTTGTTAGGTAGTAGAGAGAATCGTCAGAAGTAGGTTTCCATTGAAGGTTGGTTACAGTGTTGGTAGTTCTGGAGGTGGTGAAGCCTTTGGCAGCAGAGGCATCAAAAGCATAACATGAACCTTGTCTTTAGGAAACTGAAACAAATAGGCAAATAAATTATGAATCTCTTGTTATAATGTTCAAGTTGATGAGAGAAAATTTTTGGATGGAAAGGATTAAGGCCTGGCAGGGCCTATTAGAGGGTGGTTAAGCCTTGGTTTCCTATAGACTTGTCCGAAATCCTTGTAAAGAATCAAAACCCATGTATTGTCGAAGCTAAGGAAGAGTTGGTAAGAGATCTCTGGAGCAGCCTGAGTAAGTCAAGAGGCTTGTTCAGAAGTGGATTGCCAAATCCAAGTGGTCTAGGGTTGAATCAGTAGCCTCTTTGGTAAAGCAGAATCAGGCCCAACCTTCAATTGGCATTGGGGTTATTCGGTCAAATGATGTAGCACCTATTAGTCTACGATCTATTTCAGTCACCAAGATTAACAATCAACCTCCCCAACCTCTACCTATTGCTGCGATCATAGATGAAGATGATTAAACAGGGCCTGATGAAGGTAAGGCAGTTGCTATAAAAGATAGCTGGAGGAGGTTCTGAAGTTTTGTTTGTAGAAATGAAGCAGATTACTGGCTTTTTGCTTCAAGAGGGTTGAATCCTATTGCCACTTTGCGACACCTCGGGCCCAAACACCAGTACCCCAATAATCTTTCGGACCTAAATCACCTGCTCTCAATATTTTAAGTTTAAATTATTAGTAATAGATGATTTAAGTCTTATATGAAACTTAACTATCACATATCTTTCCGATATGGGATTGAGGTGTCGTAATCTATATCACTCAAATTCTTGATGTTCTCATCAATTTCACATATAATACAATCACAAAATCTCAATCCAAAGGATCACAAGGTCCAAAATCGTACCAGGTAGAGTTATCGAACTAGCAAGTGCTTTGGTGCAATTTGTAAAACTTTAAGCTCAAGCACCAGTAACTCAACAATCTCTCAGACTCAAACCATCGGCTTTGAAAAGTTTAAGCTTAAGTTTTTGATAGTGTGATTTGAGCAATTATGTGGAGCTCAGCAATCACATGTATTTTCAATATAGAACTGATATATCACTCTTTTCCACCATCATGGTGCTTGAAAGTTTTGGACTATGCTTTTTGATATTTTCAGTGTCATGTGGGTATCTCCCTGCTCTCTTGAGTGTTTTTTATTTCCTCAATGAAGGGGGTTGGGGTGAAGAAGGAAGGAGGATCCTCTTGAGAGGTGCTCCTTTTGGTTGTTTGTGGTTTTGTGGTTAGAGTGTAATGATACAATCTACATGGACTGCTGTTCCTCCACTTCTTCAGGACAGATAACCTTCTTGGCTTCTGTATGAGCTAAGGCACACAGATGGTTTAAAGATATCTTTTTGTCCTTGTTACAGAAGGAATTAGGGTACTATTTGTACTGAGTTTTTTTTCTTCTTTTGTTTTTCTCCCAGTTCTTTGTAGAGGTTTTCCAAAGGATGTCTTGTCCTATTCACTATCCTGTTCTTCCCTATAAAAATAAATGAGTATGATAATAGGATCTTTTCCCTTCATTCTACAGAATAGAATTTTTTTTTCCTTCATTCTCCCTTGTTATCAATAGTTTTATGTTTCTTCGCTCATATTGTTGCCTAATCCTATATATTTTTCTCTTATAATCACCTTCACGTTTTATGAAATTTTTACCCTTGTTTTTTGGTTACTCAAAACCTTCATTGTAATCAAATAAAGCATGAGAAGAGCACTAACATTTTGCTTAGCTGTACATAAGTGGCAACAACTTGATGCCATGTGAATGTATTCTTCCCTTTTACTAATAAAAATGAGATTTCTGCTTCTTAGTTGGTGAGGTACTTGAAGAATCCAGAATTGTTTGATAAAATGGGGATAAAGCCTCCTCATGGGGTTCTTTTGGAGGGTCCGCCAGGATGTGGCAAGGTTTGTTATATTTGTTGAATGTTTTTGTTAGTTATCTGGGTGACAGTTTCCTTCCAAATATTGATTGTTTTTCTTGTTTTTTTCCAGACTCTGGTTGCTAAGGCCATAGCAGGTGAAGCTGGTGTTCCGTTTTATCAAATGGCTGGATCTGAATTTGTTGAAGTTTTGGTTGGTGTTGGATCTGCTCGTATCAGGGACCTATTTAAGAGAGCCAAGGTGATAGGCTTCTTTGGATTATTGCTTGTAATGCAAATTATTTATCCTCTAACAGAGATAACTTTGCCTCTCTCTGTGATGTCTTTGAATCCTGTTTTATGCCTATTCTGTTGGAGAATATTCAGTTATGACTGCCAGTATAAAATTGCATTAGCATTATGGTTCTCGTTGCCAACTGCTGTGATAAG